ATTCGTTTTACAAAGGAGGAAAATAAAGCACTTTCTATAAAACTGTACTTGTCTGACGAGCCTGGCACATCTGGTCATAGCCGTAAACAATGCCCAGACCATGCCTGACACGTGGCCCTCAATAAATGTGATTCTATGGTTCTAACATGCTCCCAGACTGCCGAAACTGCTGGGACACGGACTACGGACACTGTGAGTAGTGAGGCTGCAGACAGAGTGCTGAGTCTGGCATAAGCAAGTGTTGGTAGTGTTATTTTCTACTCAAATTCTCCCCCCTACCAAAAAAAAAAAAAAAAAGCAAACCATCTCCTCAATGCATTCTTAGAATGCATCCCAGCTGGTTCAACTTAAACAAATCCAAACATGTATTCTCTGTAAACAGGCCCGCTATGTTTTCCATTGGCTATTAACTGGATTTATGTTGGTTTTTGTAAAGCTCATGCCTCCCCTGCCCCCGCACCATTTTGACCTAAGGTGGATCAACAGCCATAATTTCCCACGATAGCCTCAGCAATCCTGTCAGCTCAATAGAGCAAGTCCCTCTCTCATGTGTACTGGATGCGGTTGGTCCCCAGTCCAGACCCACATTCAGAGCCAGCGCATCGTCCCCCCCAGCTGTCATGTGTGATGAGCTAACAGTGCCTGGCTGCCTCCTTCTCCAAGGAATGGACACTGAGTAATTGACCTCACTGCCCAGGAAGAGGCAGCCCTCAGCCAATGCCTGGCCGACGTGGAGTGAAATGTCCTCCGCTTGCCTGTAGACAGGACAAGGCATGGTGCCATCCACACTCCGGAACCCCAATGGGATCAGGGGTGGGCTGGACGCTAGCTGAGGGCACAGTCCTGCTCAGCTCTATCCTCTACCCTGTCCCTCTCCCTCCTCCCTTACAGGTTTCTTCTGGGCGCTCTCCCTCAACAAATGATTTTATACGAATTGCCATCCTAGGATCTGCTCTAGGGAACCCAACCTAAGACAATATGGATTGAAAATAGCTATTTGTTTCCTGAAATACTTTCACAAACTGTTATGGAGTTTTTTCTGCTGTAGTTTCTCTCTCTCCCAATCTTGAATCAGATGTCATTTGGCTAAATCCCAGCTCTCCATCTCACACTCTTCTGATTTACTCTCCTTTTGAGAAGTTAAATCCAAAAAAGACAATCTTAATCTTTTCTTTCATCTGCTTAAATATTAAGGTAAGACATTTTCAGGCTCTGGTTTCCCTGGATCTTTTCCAAGATGTTTCCTTGGGTTTTGAGTCTTTCCTTAAATGCCCTGTCCCCTCAGTAGGTGCAGGGCACAGGAGGAGGTGGGGGTGGGGTGAGATTAATCCTGAGTCCCTATCCCACTGTCTTCACCCACCTCATCAATATTGTCACCACAATCTCAGAGGGTCCTGGGATCCTCGAGAAGTCTTTTCATCAGTCGTGGCCTGGCTAATCACACTATGAGCAAGCATACCCTTCACTCAACTGTCTGCTGTATTTGTGTGAACAGTGTTCATATCTTTGCTTCTGGTCTAAATCCAACATTCACTTAATAGCCAACAGCAAAAATCCAACATTCACGTCTCAATCAAAGGCAAGGTGGAATTCATAGAATTCTGGTGATATCTTTTGGAAATAGGAAAGTTGTTCAATGAACTAAAAAAAAAAAAAAAATCTTTTGAAAACCCCACATTTTTGCCCTTTTTACTGATTATCTGTTTTTGCACAGAGCTCAAGAGACAGTGAGACAAGTCTCTCACACCAGGAGGCAAGCCTGTTCCTCCAGCTCCAGGCACAGCAGCAGCCCCAGCTAACTGGTCAGTAAGCTCCTGGTTCTTCTTTCTGGTCCATTATCACTTGAAGGTACATCTCCATCCAAAAATAAACCAGGGCAGGGAAAACAAGTTGAAGACATTCTCACAATTTTATCTGTTTACCACTTTAAGAGTCAAAATTATGATTAAAATAAATAAAAAAATCTGTAGATTTCAATTTTCTAAATTAGAATGCAAGCCACTTTGTAATTTTAAAATGTCTACTAGCCCATTAAAATAAGTTTTAAAAAAGTCAAATTAATTTTAATGATTGACATATTTTTGTCTAACCTAATATATTCAGATACTACCATTTCAAAATGAAATTAACATTAAAAATATTCTTGTGTATCCTTTGCCTACCTGTGCGAGTCTTTCCTGTAGAATCCAGGAGGCTGGTCCCCCAAGCAAGGAGGGATGGGAGTTGATAGGCCAATACCTAGCTTCCTCACCCCTAGAGCAATTCTGGGGTGTATTCTATATATTTCTTCAGGGGACCCCAATGGGGTTGAGCGCCAGTGGCCCACATGGTAACCTGCTCATGCAGTCACTTTTATTGGCTGTTTTCTCTTCACTGTGTCTCCTGGGACCACCTCCCAAATAAACTGCTTGCATAGTCAGCTAACTCAGATATGAGTTCTTAACTAATACTACACCAGTGACTCAATTTGTAATCTCTTGCCTGAGAAGCAGTCCGTCCCTAATATTTCCTGGTTAATTCTCCCTTGATGGCACTGATGAGTAAACGGCTCCATCAGCTATTTACTCCAAGTGAAAGTACCGGTCAGCCAGCAATGCTCCCTTTGTCTTAAAGGACAGGATCGAGGAAGTGACCACAGAGCCTACCAGGAGGAGAAATAGGCCATGTTCTCAAGGACATCTCAGACAGATGAAAAGCTAAGAAACTCTTCGGGACAACCAATGACAAATGACTGCCTGAGCTGTCCCGTTTCTCCAGCCCTTGGGTCAGTTGTCTATGAGCCTAGATTTGCAGTTACCGTATTTTTCGGACCATAAGACGCACTTTTTTCCCCCCAGAAGTGGGGGGGGGGGGGGAGTCCCTGCGTCTTATGGTCCAAATATAGCCTACACATATACTTTAAAAAAAAGGTTTTTTACTTGCCCGGCTCTGTGTGGTCTCTGTGTGCTTGCCCGGCTCTAAAATGGTTCTAAATGCTGCTGTTTACTTTACAGGGTTGATTACATGTGTTTATGACTGTGATGTTGGGTTTTAATGCACATAAAATATTTTAGGACACTATTTGTTTCAGAATCTTTTTTTCTTCATTTCTCTTCTCTAAAAACTGGTGCGTCTTATGGTCCGGAGCGTCTTATGGTCCGAAAAATACAGTACTTGATGGATTCACTGATAGCCGTGGGACCCTCCTCCACTCTGATACTCCCTAAGCATTCTCTCCACCTCAACCTAAGGTACCAGCCTGGCCACACAGAGTGTGGGGCTCACTGGTGCTAGGGACGCAAAAAGAAGCCTTGTTCTCAGACACAATAGGATTCCATTTCTACCATGTTTAAAACCAGGCAACAGCAATCTATTGGAAGTCACAATGTCGGTGCCTCTTGAGAGAAAGGATAGTGATTGATTTATTGTTGTTGTTGTTTGTTGATCGAGATTGAAAGGGCAGCTGGAGAAGAGCATTGGGCTCCCATTATGCGCAAGCATGTGCTCTGGAGCTGCAGCCTGGACCTCCTCCTGCACCTCCCGGGCTTAGGAGGTAATGATTTGAAGGGGGCAAGAAAGAGGGGGCAGGAACTTCCAGGTTCTGGAAATACTGTCTCTTGGTCTGGGTACTAGTAAATGGGTCTGTTCACTTTGTACAGATTCTTAAATTTGCTAAATTATGCACTTATAATTTGTGCACTCTTTTGGATGTATGTTACACTAAAAAAAAAAAAAAAAAAAAAAATCCCTTCAGAAAAAGTTCTTAAAAAGGAAAAAAACAAAACAAAAACCTTTTAGTCCATCAGCTCCCCCGCTAAGGTGGAGGACACTCTTCCTAGGCCAGGGAGGAGGCTTATGGCCAGCACTCTAAGAACTCAGAAGCATAAGGGCCGTACAAGAAATCTGAATTAGAGGATCTGAGAAGGTCTTCTGGGGTGCTGAGGGACTGGAAACTCCACCTGGAGGGAGGAGTGGACGTTTTCCCCTTCCCACTAAAATGCCAGGGGAAACCCTAAACTCTGAAAGGGCTTCAGGGATCAGGGACATTATACACAGTAGATTCTGTGATGCTGTAGGGAGCGTGGGTAGTAACCAGGATGAGGTTGAATAGGCTGGAATGGGATGGAATTGGGATGGGCTGAGATAGGATGGGGATGTGAAGATGGGTCCCAGATTCTGAGGGGCTTTATGAAGCCCCTCAAGATCTGGACTTTGGATTTCCTCCTGCCCAGAGTTGGAGATATTTTTGGCAGGGAAGGAACATCCTCAGAATTCTCCTCAAGGGAACACTCTGGCAAAGGTGTGGACCATGGACCCAAAGGAGAAGCTTGGAGGCCAGATGTTTCTAACATAAAGTAAAGGAGGCTGTCACCAATCAGAAGAGCTTAGAGAGAGGCCTGTGAGCACCCCCAGGATTCTCTGTGTAATGAACTGGGGAGGACCTAGACTCCCACTTCATAAGAAGGGAAACTGAGGAAGGCCCAAGAGGAGGAAGGCGCCGACCTCAGGTAGGGGGTTCAGTCAGCTCTAAGTGAGTGAGCATTTTCTTCTCTTTTTGAGTTCTTGGGAGGAACAAGATGCTATTTGGAGACAGGCTTACTTCCCAGGAAAGGGGCATAAAATAGCACCAGTGGGACCACAGGAACCACATCCCTGCATTCAGGCTGGACTGAGGGACCAAACTATATCTCACAGCATTGTGTCAGGGATCACAATTCTCAGAACATCTCCAGCCACTGATTTGTCTTGAGTTATGCTAAAACTTGTATCATCATCCCCATCTTACAAGGGGCGAAAACAGGCTAAGAGAGGAGGCTTGCCTGGCCCAAGATGGCACAGCTGGAAGTTGGCACAGCCTGGAGGTAAACCCAGATGGGCTGGCCCTGAATGCCCCATCCTGTGGTCTTTCCAGAAATACAACATTGTCCCATCTGCCAACCTGGTTCTCTGGAGGGAAGAAAGCAGGAGGAACTCCTGGGCAGAAAAACAAAACTAAAATTAAGCGCACGACCCTTCCTCACCTGTATGCGTGCGGACGTGCCTCTTTAGGTCAAAGGTGTCATTGAAGCCCTTGCCGCAGAAGGTGCACAGGTGCCTCTTCACCTGGTTGTGGCACTTGAGGTGCCGGTTGAGCATACGCTGTAGGCGGAAGCTCTTGCCACACAGGTCACAGCTGTGAACTGCCGGGTCGCTGCATGTGCCTGTGGTGAACTGGGACAGAGAGAGAGGCCGTGAGGACCGCAATGCAGGCGGGCACATCTCACAAGCTTGCTATGGGAGCCCACCTCCCTAAGTCTCTAGGCTTGGCCTGGCTGGGGCTTTTGCCTCCTAAAAACCCCAAGCAGGTTTTGGCTTTGGGGAAGATGGAACAACTGGCAGTTCCTCCCAACATTCATTCTCCCCTTCTTCCTGAGAACAGGCCTCCAATATCTTTTTTCTTTTTTTTTTCTTTTCTTTTTTTAAAATATATTTTATTGATTTTTTACAGAGAGGAAGGGAGAGGGATAGAGAGTTAGAAACATCGATGAGAGAGAATTATTGATCAGCTGCCTCTTGCACAACCCCTACTGGGGATGTGCCCGCAACCAAGGTACATGCCCTTGACAGGAATCGAACCCAGGACCTTTCAGTTCGCAGGCCGACGCTCTATCCACTGAGCCAAACTGGTTTCGGCCAGACCTCCGATTTCTAGCAGGACATTGTCCTCAGCTAAACATCTGCATCCCGCACCAAGTCATGGCTCTATGACTACCTGGCCGATGAAATATACTCTCCCTAAGTGAGGAGGATGTTACTCTCTCTCTCTCATTTTCTCCTTCCTTGGACCACAAGGGGAAAGCCAGTGATGAGGATGAAGAGCAGAAAAAAAGGAGGAATCTAAGTCCTGAAAACATAGAACCTGTGGTAGGAAGTCCCTAAAGACAGTCACAGTCATTTCCTTCCTCCCTGTTCCTATATGCTGCTGTATCCATCAAGAGATGGAGACTCTCCTTGGACCAACTGGATGCAGAAATAATGTGTCAGTTCCAGGTATTAAGAAACCATGCAGCGTCTATATCCTCCCTCTAGGAAAGTCAGCTGCCACATTAGAAGTCTAAGACCACCACGCTGCGAGGAAGCCCACACAGCCATGTAGAGGGTGGAAGGCCATGTGGAGGAGCACAGAAGTACCAGGTATGAACAAAAAGCCTCACTGGACCTTCTAGCCCACCCATGGCTGCCACCAGATGAGTGAGTGACCTCAACCAATGCTGCCTGGAATAGAACTACCTGGCTAAGCCATGGCCCAGCTCCTGATGCACAAAATCATGAACAAAAAGAATGATAATTTTGGGAAGTGACTTGGTTGGGAGCCCACAGCTTCATTACCAGCAAACTCACAACTAAATTTTAGACTCTGGGCTTCCACTTCAGCATTCTCTCAAGTATGTTTGCCATCTCTAAGAAAGAAAACTGAGTCTATTATGGGAGTCCACCTGGATCATTCTTCGGTGGTGAAAACCACCAGATCTAAGATATTCATCAAAGGTTTCCTAGTTACCAAATCAAATTCTTTAGAGGAATGATCCAACTGTTCTGCCAAAATTCTACTCATAAATGAGGCTTCAAAAATGTATTTTCAGACCAATATCATTAACAAGAAAAGATAGATCTTTCCTGGCTCGAAATCTTCCTAGCCCCAAATCCCTCCTCCTTTTATCCACCTTGGGTGTTACCCTCCCCTGAAACTCAGCTCAACTGTTCCTTCTTTGATGTAGCTTCTCTAATGACTACAGCCCTTGTCTACACTGTCCTCTGACCCTCAAGACCAGTGCCTCTCAAACCCAGAGTGCACACAAATCCCTGCGTGTCTTAATATAATGCAGGATCTGATTCAGGAGGTCTGATGGGGTCTACACACTGCATTTCTAACCAGATCTGCATGAGAAGTGAGGCTGGAACATTGGCCCTTACGCCATCCAGTACTTTATTCCATCTCATGCCAGAGGGTTCCATTACCCACAAATGTTTCCTCAGAGCTCATCCAGTGTTCTCAACAAAGTGCCTTGAGTCAGCAAGTGTTTGTGCACATTCCTGCCTCCCACCCCCACACCTCAAGCCCAGGCCCAGGTCAGTGCACATTCAGAAAGTGCCGATGGGCAGTGGGTTCACAGGTGGCAAGATACAAAGAGATACAAAGAGACCTGAAGGAGACCCAAGACTCCAGAACGGGATTTTCCAGTTAGCCTCCTCTGCACCAGTTCTTTTTCATCTGCTCAGAGCTTAATTTGTCTCAGCTGACCAACTACTGCCTGACCTGTAACTGGTCTTGTGCTCAGAGCTGAGGGAGTATAGTCACCTGGACCACCTGTCCCCAAGAAGCTGCCAGTCTAGTCGGGGAGCGAGTTGGTCAATAGGCCACTGACATCTGGAAAGCCCCGGTGCAATGTGCATCTTGGAGGAGCACCGACCGCTGCCATGGGGCAAGAGGGAAGGTGCCTTTAGAGGCAGTGAGCTCCTCAGCCAGCTAAAGATGAGCAGAAAGAAAGGAGGCATGGCAAAGAATATTCCAGGAGAGGACAATGGGAAATGGACTGTGTGTGGGTTCCATACTCCTAGCCGGAGCCCCAGGAAAACAGATAATGAAGACAGCTGTGGTAGCAGAGAATAGCAGGGTCCCCCTTGGGGCTCTACCTTGCAGGGTCGTGAGCTTAAAACTCTGTTCTAAGAGGGTGAAGGGGTTGGACATGGGAAGATAAAGGAGGACAGCTACTGGGTTGAGTTTATGACTCAGATGGATAGCCATCATAGGCCTCTAACTTCCTCATGCCCCACCTCTGCATGTGTTCCCCAAAGGGGTAGGACCTGGCACCCAGCCTGAAGGAGACCCAGCTGTGCCCAAGGCTTTCATATGCCAATCACCAGGACAGGTCATGGTCTCCTCCTTGTCCGGCAGTCCCCATTCTGGTCTTGCCTCCCTTGAAGAGATGTGAAAAGACTACATGTGGCCCATGTCTTGGCAAACTGAGTACTTTGAGCTTCTCAAGGCCAAGGCTACTCAGGATAAAAGTCATTTGCGAAGTAGTGAAGGGATAATAGAATAGAACAAAGATAATTGAACCTGGTAATTCTAATTAAAAACATGTAGAAAGCTAGAACTGTCTTTTGAAAGTCCTATAGAATGTGCCTAAGGCCGAAACCAGTTTGGCTCAGTGGTAGAGCGTCGGCTTGCGGACTGAAAGGTCTCAGGTTCGATCCTGGTCAAGGGCATGTACACTGGTTGCGGGCACATCCCCGGTAGGGGTTGTGCAAGAGGCAGCTGGTCGATGTTTCTTTCTCATCGACAGTTCTAGCTCTCTATCTCTCTCCCTTCCTCTCTGTAAAACATCAATAAAATGTATATTTTAAAAAGAATGTGCCTAAGGACTGGACAACTACATTTTCAACCTTACCTCTTGCTTACTTTCATCACGTTGGTAAATTCCTACTTTTAAAATGCTCAGCATGTAGCTGAAGCCGGTTTGGCTCAGTGGTAGAGCGTCAGTCTGCGGACTGAGGGGTCCCAGGTTCGATTCCGGTCAAGGGCATGTACATTGGTTGCGGACACATCCCCAGTGGGGGGTGTACAAGAGGCAGCTGGTCGATGTTTCGCTCTCATCGACGTTCCTAGCTCTCTCTCTCCCTTCCTCTCTGTAAAAAAATCAATAAAATACATTTTAAAATGCTAAGCATGTAATATAGATACCTTCTAATGTAGTCCAGGATGAAAAAAATCTCAAATCACTGGCATTATTTGTTGGAAAAGAATAAAATCTTAAAGGGCAGAGGGAAGGGAGATTAGTGACAATTTAAGGGAGTGGAGGGCCAAGACAATGGATCATCTGACCAAGACACAGAAAACTTAACACAGGGGAGAAAATGAGAATGGGGAGAGGGGATGAAGACCGAGGACATCCCATTCCCAGGGAAAACTTTCCTTTAGTTTTCTTGGAGCAAAAATAAAAGTTCTCCAAGTATGCTTCAGCAAAGGCAATTTCTTAATTTCTCCACCTTCATATACATCCCCATTTCACAGTATGAATAACTGAGTCAGCACAAGAGACTCACTTAGGGAATTCCCATAAGGTGCAACCACCAATTCGTGAAGGGGTACTTGCTATCTATAGACATCTATGACCAATCCGGCCACCACACATTAAGTTATACCTGAAGCTTTAAGAGACAGTTTTGTTGAAATAAGATGTTAATTAAATAGTAAAAGATCATAGCTGATGATGAAGCCAGCTTCTTCCAGACTAGTTCACTTCTCAGACGGAAAGAGATGGTTGAAGGATAAATTTTTTACATGTGAAATTTACCCCAGAGTGAATATCATAGTTTCTGCCTTGAAATGTGGTGTGTAATAGCAATGGACTGAAAATTACCTGTCAATAGAAACTTGTTTAAAAAAAAAAAAAAAAAAGCATTTCATCAAAGCAGCCTGAAAAAGGAAAGCATCAATTGTCAGCCACGTGGGTGACCCCTCTTGGATGTCCAGTCCGAGTCCTGCCCCACCTGTCATCTGACTGCACTAGCAAAAGAAGCCCCAGGGAAGACCAGCCCAGCAGAGATGAGTCATTCCACAGAACTAGAAGACATAATGATGAATTATGTTAAGGTGCTAAATTTGTGGTTATTTGGGAAGCAGCAATAAACTAAGTGGAATAGTAACAAATATATCACATCCTCTCCGGAACACCAGATCTGCCACATTTCTGACTCCTAAGGTGGGCTGCATAAGAAGAAGAGACACATCCATCTCTGGAATGACATCCTGTGAGCCAGAGGGACCAGGCCCTCCCTGGGCACATGTATGCTCACTACACCACTCTTGCTATGTTTACAACAGGTTTAGACCTTACATTCCACCTCCTAAAGTTTCAAAATAGGGTTTACCGATTTTACATTGTTACTCTACTCTGCAAGTAGTAGACCCAAACTAGTTACCCTTTTAGTCATCTTAGTTACAAAATAAGAGAGGAATGTTGGGACAGAAATGAAAAGGGTCAAATAAAAACCTAGACCTGGCTAGTTATGTGATGTCATGTAATATCCCAGAGCCACAACTTCCAGCATGAAAACATAACAAAATGGTATAGGATGAGCTCTATGGCAGAATAAGAAGCTAAAAGCATCTTTTTTCCAACTTCCTAAATTCAGATCCTGTTCCGCCACTTACAGACTGTGGGATGTAGGCAAGTTACTCAACCTCTCTAAGCTTAAATTTTATCACCTGTAAAATGAAGATAATGATATTTGCCTCTTAGGAGTATTAAGGAATTAAATAAGAAAAACTACTTAATAAGTCCTAACTCTTATAGTTAGACCAGCTCCAAAATTCTGTGATCCTAACTAAAAATCAATTGGTCAAGCCCTAGCTGGTTTGGCTCAGTGGATAGAGTGTTGGCCTACGGATGGAAGAGTTCCAGGTTTGATTCTGGCCAAGGGCACATACCCGGGCTGTGGGCTCAATCCCCAGTGTGGGGCCTGCAAGAGGCAGCCAATCAATGATTCTCTCTCATCATTGATATCTTTCTCTCTCTCTCCCTCTCTGAAATCAATAAAATATATATTTTTAAAAATCAGTTGGTAAAAACCCCTCGTTTACTTATTTGGCTTTTGAATTTTTCTTTCTCTGATTAAAGAAAAAGGGGATTAACTTTAGTGTGAGCCACAATTCCCCAGTCCTTCATCCAAAACTGAAATCCAAAAAGCTCTGAAAACTGACATTTTCTCCCATCTTCCTTAATAGAACCTGAAACAAGCAAGCATGGATCTATACACAGACTTTATCCCTTTGATAGCAATATTCATGTGTTTTGAGAGAGAAATTATTAGTGTGTTTAATTACAGGGTACTGCTCCAGACCTGCCAGGGGTGGTATTTATACCATGCTACTTTCTGAAAGCTTAATAGTCTCACCTTTAATCCAAAATTAACACTTTGCAAAAGGCTTATTAACAAAGTGAGGAAGCTACCATGGAGGGTGGGAAATGACATCAGTCTGCAGATTAATTCAGGATGAGAAAAATGAAGACAGAGAGCAAGCAATTCGTCAATCACTCAGCTTGGCACTATCTTGCCCGCTGTCCTGTTTTCTGCAAGGTCTCGGCTTTCATTTTAAAAAACACCCAAAGTTCCCCTCTAGCTTTTCTAAAAAACAGGCCTCTACAGCAGAAACAAACCGATCATTGTATCAGTGCTGCTGAAAACCTCAGCAGCATCAGGGAGATAGGTCTTCTGACCAACTTCAAAGCTGGCTATGGTCACTTACCTGTCAACATTCTAAAGTAAAAAATTTTAAACTCTTTATTTTCTGCTGATGCTTCCATTAAACAAGTTCATTAAATTAATGGTTCTATTTTCTTTGGGAGGGTACTGTGAGTTCAGGTACTATCATATGGTGGCCACATGAACAAGATTTCCATGGGCACATTTGCTATGCTGGAGTGCTCAAACCATGCTAACCGTATTTCCCCAATTCCTTTGGGATAAAAATTTCCCTCCTGGTCCTAAGTACCATTTCCTTAGGCTTCACCACTCCGCTATTTGGCAGTGGAGAAGCTTCTCAAATGCACAGACGATGAAGGATTATATCCTTATAATCCATAAAAACTGAGGCTCAAGGAGCTATTCAATGCCCACAGCCATATGGCTTTTAGGTACCCACAATGAGATTTTGAATGTAGTGTGTCTGCCAATCTAGTGTCTACCGTTGAACTGTAAGGGAGAAGGAGGGAAGGACTGTTGTTTGTCTCATATGGTGAGAAACAGCTTCAAATTTTTAAAATGTTTAAGACCTCCCAGAATGCAATACAATAACATTGAAAGAATAAGGATTCTTTGTCATTAACCGCTGTGAGGAATTCATTAAAACCGCCGGGTCTTTATCTTTCTCCCCTTCAAAATGAGGAGACTGCCTTAGCTGCTTTGGCTCAGTGGATAGAGCATCAGCTTGTGGACTTGGTGGGGGTCCTGGGTTCAATTCCAGTCAAGGGCACATGCCTGGGTTGTGGTCTCCGTCCCCAGTAGGAGGCATGCAGGAGGCAGCTGATCAATGATTCTCTCTCATCATTGATGTTTCTATCTTTCTCTCTCTCTTCCTTCCTCTCTGAAATCAGTTTAAAAAATAAAAACAAAATAAGACAAAATGAGGAGACTGGACCATGGAAGCTTTAAAGGTCCCTGTAGTGGATCCTATGTATACACAGTCAGCCTCCATTTCTACTCCTCTGGTGAGCCTTCCTGTACTGAAGAGGCCAGTAAGCTAGAAACTGCATTTTCCAGACTCCCTTGCAGCTATGATCTTTAGATGTACCCCAGCAGGAACTTAGGTTCCACCAATTACTAGGTTAACTGAAGAGAGGAAGGCGCATGGCAATTGTTTTACACTCTGCATTAACAGAAGCATTGTGATGCATGATTAGGCAGCCATAGAGGCGGCAGCTGCAGCTCCCTAGGTTGCCCAGTTCTGCAGTGTGGCTCTCGGAGAAGAGCCTGGGAACTCAGCCTGGTCTTTCTTTAGTTCATTTAATGCGCTATAGTCAACCATTCTCTGCTTAAGTAAGCTACAGTAGATTGTTTTCTGTAACTAAATCCATGCAGTCCCTTCCAATAATAAATACCCACGTCAGTGCTTGCTTCGGCAGCACATATACTAAAATTGGAACGATACAGAGAAGATTAGCATGGCCCCTGAGCAAGGATGACGCGCAAATTCATGAAGCATTCCATATTAAAAAAAACAAAAAACACTTCAACCCAGCGAGTGTGGCTCAGTGATTCTGTTTTTAACCATGAACCAGGAAGTTTGATACCTGGTCAGGGCACATGCCCAGTTACGGGTTCAATTCCCAGTGCAGGAGGCAGCAAATCAATGATTCTCTCTCATCACTGATGTTTCTATATCTCTTTCCCTCTCCCTTTCTAAAATAAAAATAAGTAAAAACTTATATTCAAATTAAAAGCTGATGCAGTTAATATATATTGTTCTCTTATGACTCTTTTTTTTTTTTACTCTTTAAATTAAACTTTTTCGAGCATCTATTCTAAGCATTTTCCCAGATCTCCCTTTTCTTCTTGCTTCCTGTTTTCCTCCAAATGCTATCACATCTAGGGACTGTTGACCCCTTTTTCCCTGTCTGGATTTCTGTTCTGTGTTGACTTTTGTCCTCCTATGAGTCAGGCATTGCTATGCTGGATGCTGAAGATACAAGCCTGCCTTTGGTGTGTCCTGTTCAAGAGGTGTCTGGTCAGCCAAATGTGCAGTCAAGGAGATGATCAGTGAGTTACAATGGAGGCAGGGAGAGGGGCATCCAATTATCTTGGGAGAAAGAAGACAATTAGGGACAGCATTTATGGTCCCTTCCAAAGATCAAATGGATGTTTTTATAAACTACTGTACTTAAAAGCACAATTCACAACAATACTTAAAAGTAAACTAATTGGCCATCACTAAAGAATTCTGGTGAACCGACTGATTATCTTGAAAACTAGTAAATAAAAGGGATTTTTATTCTGCCTTTCCTAAATGAACTGTCTCACTAGGAAGCAGGGGAAGTATCTCTCCATAGAAGAATTTCAGCTAATAAAGAAGGGACAGGATTAGAATATTACTGATCTACAAACCCTAATAACCTAAAATATTTAGACCTTGAGCATCAATGGCTGCTAACATCACAAAGAGGCAACCAAACATTATGTAGCTCTTGATAGGAATAGACACCCCTACTGTGACAGATTTCAGCTACAATAAACTTGATCAAGCATCTACAGCAGTGTTGATGCAATACAACTTTCTGTGATGTTAGGAATGTCCTAATCTGCACTGTCCAATACAGTAGGCACTAGTCACACATCGCTACTGAACGCTTGAAATATAAGTCGTGCAAGTAAGGAATTTAATTTTTAGTTTTACTTCACTTTATTTAATTTAAATGTAAGTAGTTATATGTGGTCACTGCTACCATTTTGGACAGCATAGCTGCAAATCCAAATGAAAACATATTGGAGTAAGGAGCAAAAACCCAGATTGCTGGACTCTACAAAATAAATTAGCCATCTCCCATCTCTTCAACAATTAACTAAAAAAAGAGGAGAAAAAATACATAAAGTAAAAGACACACCAATGAATTACAATGTGTGGACATTATGTGGACCTGATTCAGTAAACTGGAAAAAAAAAATGAAGTTATGAGACAATTAGCAATATGAACACCATTAGAGACATATTTTAAATTATTTATGATGGCTGTAGATTTGTCTCAAAATAGTGTTGGGGGGTGGATGGAGGAAGGATGACAGTAGTAGCCTTGTGTTCATTGTTGTTAGGACCAGGTGACAAGTATTTCACCTTTGAATACTTCCCTAATAAAAAATGATGGGACAAGAAAAAGACACACATTCACACATCCATGACTACTGGAGGACGCAGGCTACAGAGCCAGGTAAAAGGCCAAGAGTACTTTTGAAGGAATTCTAAACTCAATCCCTTTGAAGAATCCTTGGGAGAAACCAAAGGAAGAGAGAAAAGAATGGGATGGGGTAAGAAGACATTCACTTCTAGTCTATATACTTCACATGGGTCCCACCAGCCACTCTGAGTCAGGAATGAATAACATCAGTCAACTAACTGATTTAACTTCTGGGTTATTTGTTTCTGATAAGCCTTGGGAGGACAGTGTGCCTGGGGTTTGGGATAGGGGGTATCTCCCACAGCTAAAGACCTGAAAATGGATCCAGCTTTACAAAAGGGACTTAAAGGGACTTAAACCTCTGGCATGAATACTTTCCCAGAGGTACCCAATCTCCCCACCCCAAATCTGTTCTATAAGTTACAGAATCCACAACAGTAAAGAAATAATTTCATAACTTACCCTAAGGCACACAGTTGAAAGACAGGCTGGGAAATAAAACCACTTAAATGGCACTTACAAGTCCTGTCCAGATCCACTGATCAGCACAATCAGGTTAGCAAATCCCTTGTTCCTACTGCAGGTAACAAAATAGCTACCATCCACTGTCAGCTAACTTCCTATTGGGCAGTTCATACAGGCACAAAACGTGCTACACATTTTGCACCCATTATCTCATTTAATCTATGCAACACTTCTGAGAGGATGATTCTATATTATTTCTCCATTTTGCACATCAGGGAACTGAGACTCAAACAGGTCACATGTCCCCAACCACAGCTGATGATATATTGTAGATCCAACTGAGGTTTTCCTTCTCAAAAACCTCCCAGAAAAAAACTTCCAGAGCCCCACCCATAACCCCAAGGGAATTTCCACATTTCTTGATTTAGCCTCACCTTCAACTTTTTCTGACCCCAATAGTTTCCCATCCTGTAGCCAACATAGCTGAGTGCTTGCCTTATTCAAGAGGGCAAGAACTTTTGGGCTGAGCCCATACCTCTCCTTCTCCATAGGCCTCAAATCCACACAAGAAACCTTCTCCTGCTCAGGATTTATCATATCTTTGCTTGTGCTTCTGGGTTAGCATTCACATTCCTGTGGTAGTTAATAATTAATATTTGAGTCTCCCCACCAACGCAACTAATTCTAGCTAGAGTTACTGGGCACCTACATCTTCCACTCTTAACTCACTTATCCACAACTCTCTAAGAACCCTTATTATCCCCAGTGTAAAAGCAAGAAAACTAAGGCCCAGAGGGACTGGCAATTTGCCTAAGGTCACACAGCTAGGAAGTAACAATCATTTCTGTCAATCGATTCAGGAACTCTAGGGTGGGAGCATTTTTTATCCTGACTGCCTGGGGCATGCACAGCAGGCACTCCATACTACTGGATGGGATGTTACTTTTCTCTGCAGATCTCACTTGCCCTTCCTCTGGTCCTAATAGCCAACAGCCAAATGTCTTCAAGTCATTGAAACTATGGCCCTTACCACAAGAGTCTCATCCTTGAGAGACTTTTCACTTTTAGTTAGAAAACCAATTCTTAGAGAGTTTAGCTTGCTTTGCATAGAACCCTAGAGTTATACAATGCGCTGAATTTAACCAGTCAACTGAAAATGGCCAATATCACCACTAATAATTCTGGAGGTTCAAAGCATCTTAAAGCCAAGACGTCTCCTATTTGTAGGTGGAAGCCGAGAGGGAGAAGGAACCAGACTGTCCTCCTCGGTAAACTAATGCTCCTCTGGAGATTATGTTAACAGTTGAGGGGCAAACTCTCTGCCCCACCCCCATCCCTGGGGCTGCACATAGGCAGTGATCATGGAAAACAAATTTGGTTTACTCATTCCCTTACGCCAGATAGTGCTGGTTGCTTGAGGCAGCTAAGAAAGATCTCCTAAAATGTTGGTAATGGGACTGGATAATTTTCCTCTGCCACTTTTTCTCAAGGGTAATCTGGGCATCCAGGGGCAAACTGTCGGTGATCCATTCCAAAACAACGTTGCAATTGTCCTCCCACCCAGGCGATAAATATGCAAGTGGGACACTGTAGAATTTCCTGGAGGGCAGAGCTACCAGCCTCAGGCAAACTGAGCCCTCCCACTTAACCCCATCTAGCCCGCAAAAGCCTCAGACTAGCTGACTTTGAACCTCAGCAAAACCTTTAACACTAAGCAGCAGGCCCTAGTTGGCAGCCTCTTTAAAAAGATGTCTTTCTTAAAGATTTCAGCACAAGCCTCTAGCCTCAATTCACAACCAAATGCACCCCCAGACCACCTCCAGCCAAGCCCTCTGGGCTATGCATCAGAAATATGCATAGGGGAGGGGTGATCTCTTCCCGGAGAAGTAACGGAGACTTTGTTAATCCACAGCAAACGCTAGGGGGATCTTCTTTTCCCCAGCTCCCCACCCCCCAGCCAAGGCCCAGGAGTCAGGCAGGAATATGCATAGGGGAGAGCCCGCCTCTCCCAGGAAAAGCAACTTAAACTTTCCTAATCCATAGCAAACTCTAGGCCTCCTCCTTCCGATCCTCCCTATCCCCTCCTGGGCAGCGGTACTGCGGGAACGCCCAAGAATTATCACCTACAGCGAGGACCTGGAGTCTGCTAAGGGTCACCTTCTGGCCCGTCTGGCTAGCGACTAGGTTCATGTGATTCCTAAAACACCACTCCCTGACTCCAGGTGGCTGTGAGTCAGTGGATTGGGATTCCTTAACCTAGGGGGTAGCGGATACCTTTGAGCAGGCAATCGTGTAAGCGCAGAAGAGCATCCGGATAAGATGTAGCCTACCATTCTAGAAGACGGGGTGGGAGGGGGGTTTGAAGAGCGAAGATAAAGGGGAACAAACACTCCAACCCACTGAGGACGCGGCCTGAGGCAATTTACAGTTGACCTCCTTTGTCCATCATTTTAATTCAAGAAAATGTGAAACGAGACACATGTAAAGGGCTCAGCAGACCTGATGTCTAACGGCCACTCCATAATTGGCAATGGAAATCGCTGAGATGATAAGAGGCCCACTGTGTACCAAGCTGCCACGGCTGTGTCCAAAACTAAAGAAAGAGTGTGACATGTAGAATTCACAGAGCCCTAGGAACTGCGCCCCAGAGGCTTGCTGGGGGGTGCCTAGGTCCCTCCTCTGCACCTCTGGAACCCTGAGGACCTGACTGTTCTCTGGCCCCAGAGCACCGAATGGGAGGAAAGAAGCTGAACCTGAGCCTTCCAGGTAGTTCCCTAGGCCGCCGGCGGGCTGTGCTCGCGCAGGGAGCTGGCCTTGGGGGCGCAGCGGCGCGGGCGGGTGGCTCCCCCCAGCCGATCGGAGGACGCGCCCTGGCCGCGGCCCAGGGGCAGGTGCAGGGCCCGCGCGGCGGCCACACCGAAGGCACCGGAGCCGGGCGCGCGGGCGGGCGGGCGCGGCAGGGAGGGGCGCTGGCCCCGGGAGCCCGACGCCAGGGCGTGGTGGAGGTGGCGGCCCCAGCAGACTCGGCTCCGTACCTTGATTTTCGATCTGGCGACTGGGCGCTGCTCCGCCGCCAGGTGTCCGCCGGGGTCCTCGGCATCGCCGGGCTCCGGGGTTTCGCGCTCGGGGGTGCGCGCGGACGAGTTGCTCTCGGTGCCCCCGGGATCCCCCGCGCAGCTGCTGCCTCCGCCGCTGCTGCTGCCGCCGTCGCTGCGGCAGTCCTCGTGGGGGTCGCAGAGCAGGCGGCCCAGACCCGCCGGGAAGGGAGCGGCCGCGCCTATAGACACACAGACACACGGCGTCAGGCCCGGGCGCCCTCGGTAGTTTGACCTGCGGGCGGTGCCGCCAGTGCCGCCCCGCCCCGGACCTGGGCACCTCGCCAAGTGGGCAACGCCGAGGGGGTGCGCTCGCGAGCCCCCTTCTCCCCCCTACCCCCCCCCCCCTGGCTCGGCCTCCCGAGAGAGGTCGGCGTCCTGGGGGCCGCTGCTCAGTCGGGGTCCCCGGGCCACGAGGAAGTGCGGGACCCCGCGCGCCAAGTTCCCTCTACCTGGGATGGGGGTGGAGGGCTCTGATACCTGCATTCCCAGCCCCAGAGGGGATCACCGATCCTCGAGCAACCCACGAAGGCGTGGAGTTGGGGGTAGTAGCCCCTACCGGCTTTCAACCTCACCCCCTGCTTGGACCACCTCGGCCCCCGCCGCAGCCAACGGTCCCGCCGCCGCCGGGCAATTAGAGGCGCCCACTAGGGGGAAGGGGAGCACGATGCCCAGGGTTTCCCAGCCTCTCCTTCTTGTCTTCCCGCACCTCTGAGACTCCCTCCTCTTCCCCTGGAAGAAGCAGGGGGTGGGGAATCCCCCACCCCCAGCCGATGAGCAGAGGGAACCCGCTCACCCCAAGCCTCACCCCAAGAAGAGCCCCGCGCCAGGCCTTGGCCCCCCGGAGCCGTGCTCACCTGGGATGTAGGTGTCCGCCCTCTCCTCGTCCGGGAGCTCATCCCAGCTGCGGACTGAGACCCCCGGGCTCCTCCGCTTTACCAGGAAGACTTTGGGCATGGCGAGGCCCCCTCCCGGCCCCCTGGTCCCGGCGGCTCCCCGCTAGGGACCCGCAGCGATGTCTGTCTGGGTCGCGGCTGCCGGGGGCCAGAGCCCACCTTCCCGCCTTAGCCGACCCTCTCCCCCGCCCCCCGCCTTGGCCGGCCCCGGCCTCCACCCGGCGCTCCTGGCGGCTCCCAGGCCCCCGGCCAGGCGACACCTATGCCTTCAATCGCGGGATGAGACCACGCCGCGGTAAAGTTTCATAAGGTGGAATAGAAAAGGCACCAGGAAACTTGGGAGTGAGCATGCGCCCTGCAACATAACGGTGTCAACAAGCTCGCTTACCTGTCCGACCGGTTCCGGCGGCGGCCGGGGCTGCCTGTTCCAGCCCTTCCTTAGGCATGAATGTTTGCAAAAGAATTTAACGTCTGATTCTCCCCCCCACCCTCCCCTTTTTTAAAACGGGGAGAACTTTTTTTTTTTTTTTTTTTTTTTTTTTAATCAACCCCCAACCATTCCCCATCCCAGGCACCTCGGCGCAAACTTTGAGGTTAAACCTAAGGTCCGCTTCCCAGGGCATCCCTCCCGAGACTTAGAGTCTCCTGAGAATGCCCCCCCCACACACACACACACACAAACACATACAAACACCAATCCCCCCCACCAATCTCCCAAGAGCTTTTGTCTCCGACCAGAAAATGGACTTTGTGAACCGTTCCCTGCGGTTGCTGAAATCCTTGCGGGCGGAGGGGGGAAGTTGTGGGGAGACCCCCCAGGGCTGTGATCTGGTAAAGGGGGAACCTGAGGGCTTTCAGCTCCCATCCACTCCCACAGTCCCACCACATGAACACGGCGATAATAAATGGAAGAGCTCAGCATCTTTAGAACCCATTGTTTCGTACCATTCATTGAAAGAAAAACAAGTCGGCTTGTTCCCCCAAAGTGGGTTCCACCTCAAGACCTTGCACCCCAAGAGCCCCATCATCACCAGAAATGGGAACACAGCGGAAATAAAACGCCCATTGCCCTTGATGCAAACACACAGCTTGAAAACGAATTTCTTATCCTCGCCCGCTTCCACGATGGCCTCCCCTCACCGCCTGCTCCCCCCCAATTCGGAGGCTGGGAAGTACCTTCTCAGGAAGCCAGCGAGAAGGCTACATCCCCTTCACTGCCTCAGCTGGGGTGGTGGCTGGAAATGTATTGGTTTTCGGCTTTGTGTTTCCCTGTCTATCTTTATACCTGGAGGGGAGGGAAAAGAGAGAGAAAGATACCAAGTTTCCAAGAGCAGTCCTGCCCGCGATGGGGGGGATACGCTCCCCTCCCACGGCCCCTGCTCTGTCTGGTGCGCCCAGGGGAGCACAGCTCTGCCTCCACCCCTGTGGTCGGCGCGCCCTCCAGGGAGGTGGTCAGATGGGTGGTCAGATGGGTGCGCGGGCGCGCCTGGCCAGGGGTTCCTCCAGCTCGCCCAGGGGCCACACTCACCTGTGTGTAACCTGAGCCGCTAGGAGCCCAGCCCGCAGGCCCGGAGGGTGTGCACAGCGGTTTTCCCCGAGCTCCGCCCGGAATGGCCCTCAGGGACACGGCCGCCGGTAACGGATTTCTCTCGGCTGGTGGTGCGCTCGGGGCGGGGGGCGCTGCTCCTGCCACCGCGGAGGGAGGGAGGGAGGCGACGGGGGATGCCTCAAGGTCTGCCCTCAAGGGGTCGCCCTCTCTGGGCTCAGCCCTGTCTGTACTCCAGATTTTCGTTGAGAACTACCAAGAATGGGGGTTGGGGGGGAGGGGAAGACTTTGATCTGTGTAGCAGGAGCGAGGGGCGGGAGAAGGAGGACGTGTGTACAGCAGCCTAAGGAAACGAGGCTCCCTCCCTTCCAGTCTCGGAGGCTGATGGCACAGCATCTGGGAGACTCTGCGAATGTATTTTTATATCTGCCAACAAACTGGAGATTTGCTGGAAAGAAGGAGCGTTGGTTGAATGAAAGTAAAGATACAGGAAAGCGGCAAAATCAGATTATTCCTCCTCTTAAAAATATTTAAAACGTCTTAAAAATATTTAAAATTTTGCTCAAAATTCCTTACCTCACAAAAAAACTCCAACCCCATTAACAGAGCTTTATTTATTTATTTATTTTCTTCACTCAAAGCGATGAGTGACTGGATCACTTTGTACATTATTTGAAAAGATTGTAGCCCTGGCTGGTTTGGCTCAGTGGAAAGAGCGTCGGCCTGAGGACTTAAAAGTCCCAAGTTCCAGTCCGATCAAGGGCACATGCCTGGGTTGCGGGTTCGATTCCCAGTAGTGGGTGTGCAAGAGGCAGCTGATCAGTGATTCTCTCTCATCACTGATGTTTCTACCTCTCTCTCCCTCCAGAATGACATAGGATCTTTCTTTATGTACTTCTTTTTTGAAATTATTTTTAATTTTTCAATTACAGTTTACTTTCAGTATTATTTTGTATTGGCTTCAGGAGTACAGCATAGCGATTAGATAATAATATACTTTACAAAGTGTTGCCCTGATATTTTCATTACTCGCCCAGCAACCATACACAGTTATCACAATATTTTAACTCTATTTCCTATCCTGTACTTTACATCCACATGACTGTTCTGTAACTATCAATTTGTACTTAATTCCTTCACCTCTTTCACCCTATTCCCTAACCCCCTCACCTCTGGCAAACACCAGTCTAGTCTCTATGTCTGAGTCTGTTTCAATGACACAAGCTCTTCATGCCAGTCATTACTCGTCTAGACCAACGCTGTCCAATAGAATGACAATGCAAACCACAGATATAATGCTAAAATTTCTAGTAGCCACCTTAAAAATTTAAATAAATCCTGAAATTGATTTTATTAGGGAGAGAGGGAGGGAGAGGGAGATAGAAACATCAGTGAAAGAGAAACATCAGTCAGCTGCCTCCTGCATGCCACCCACTAAGGATCAAACCAACAACCTGGGTATGTGCCCTGACTGGGAATTGAACTGGTGACCTATGGGTGTACAGAGCTACACTCAACCAACTGAGCCACATTGGAGGGCTTGAAATTGATTTTAATGACATATTTTGTTTAATCCAGTGTACCCAAAGTATTGCTTCACTTATAACTCAACACCCAACACTATTCATGGAATATTTTGCAGTCTTTTTTTTTTTTTTTTTTTTGTAGTAAGTCTTCAAAATCTGGGTGTGTATGTTATATTTATAGCACATCTCAGTTGAGACCAGCCCCCTTTCAGGTGTTCAGTATGACCAACTGGGGATTCTCGTTTTGAGCAGTGCAGGACTAGAGGCAGATTAGGCATACATTTAGGACACCTGCAAAGCAGGGGCATGAAAGAGAAGGGATGAAGGGAGAAAGAGATTTTGCTTCGGTGCCTAACCAGAATCTTGCAAATTAGTCTAGAAAGAAAAGATTTAAAATAAGCATATGTGTTTTGTGGTTTAGTACTGCCTTTATTTTGAATTATAGCAGGGTGGGAATGATGGGACACCAAACCTTATCCTTGATGAGGAGACAATGCCGATTGCAGAATAGATGACCTAAGATGTGGCAACAGAACCCACTCTAGCTAGAAAAGATTGTAGAATAATGAAATATAAGGCTAGACACGTCGAAAAATGCAAAATTTGGAGAATTGGGGATGGAAATAACATGGATAACTACACTTTTATTCAACGATTGTTGGATGTGCAACTATATGATATTGGTTGGGTGTTTCTGAGTGAAAGGAATTAAAATGTGTTATTTTTCTGGTTCTTGATCAGACTTGAAAAGGGTTTATAATAGAATATTATTATATTTTATAATAAAATGGTTTATTATAAAATATTATTAACATTTTCAAAAGAACCAGTTTTGCCTCTGTTGACTTTTATCTGTTTGTAAAGTTAGTTTTCTACATATTATGAGGAGTTCATAGTGCACCCCCTGAAAGTGGAATAAGAGGCCGAAGCCGGTTTGGCTCAGTGGATGAAGCGTCAGTCTGCGGACTGAAGGGTCCCAGGTTCGATTCCGGTCAGGGGCATGTGCCTTGGTTGCGGGCACATCTCCAGTAGGGTATGTGCAAGAAGCAGCTGATCGATGTCTCTCTCTGGTTGATGTTTCTAACTGTCTATCTCTCTCTCTCTTCCTCTCTGTAAAAAAAATCAATAAAATATATTTTTAAAAAAAGTGGAATAAGAGCCCTGACTGATTTGGCTCAGTGGATAGAGTGTTGGCCTGCAGACTGAAGGGTCCAAGGTTCGATTCCAGTCAAGGGCACATACCTTGGTTGCGGGCACATCCCCAGGAGGGAGTGTGCAGAAAGCAGCTGATCGATCAATGTTTCTAACTCTCTATCCCTCTTCCTCTTTGTAAATAATCAATAAAACATATTTAAAAAAAAGTGGAATAAGAAATAAATCCAATTATTTAAAAAATCAAAGCTTGTAACTGGAAGAGAAAAAAAAGATATGACATGGTCCACACCCTGCCTACTATTAGGGAGAAAAGATGGCCTTGCATATAGTGTGTTATCCTTGGAATGTGTGTATCCAGTCCTGTTAGGATATTCCAGTGCTGGCGAGCTCACTTTTTCAAAAAGCAGACTGTTCTCTGCTTAGGCAATGATGTTAGAAAGCTTTTCCTTCTACTTCATGGAAATCTGTTTCCCCATATTTTCACCTCCTCGCCCCATTTTGCCCTGGGCCCCTTCTCCCTGGTAGTGCTTCAAATGTGTGAAAGGATCCATTGGTGTTCTCACTTAAGACTTCTTTTCTCCAATAATGTATAGTCAGGTACAGCCCTAATTGGTTTGGCTCAGTGAATAGAGCATCGGTCTGTGGACTGAAGTGTCCAGGGTTTGATTCTGGTCAAGGGCACATGGCAGGGTTGGCTGCTCAATCCCAGTGGGGGGCTTTCAGGAGGCAACCAATCAATGGTTCTCTCTCATCACTGATGATTTCTCCCCCCCCCCCCCTTCCTCTCTAAAATCAATTAAAAATATATTTTTTAAAAGAAAATAGACAGGTACAAACCTGCTCAGTGGCATCCTTAGAGCATACAGTTATAAGAAAAGGTTAGGATGTTGGGGAAATATTCCTAATTTTTTACAATATAATTTAGGGCAGGGGTGGGCTGGAGGGGGTCGATGGGGGGAAAAGGAGGACATATGTAATAGTTTCAACAATAAAGGTTTAAAATAAATAAATAAATTTTTATTTAATTTTTTCCATCACCATTTATCCCTTCTATACCCTCTTCCACCTCAAACTGCCCCCCCATAATCACCACACTGTTGTCCATGAGTTCTCTTTTTTTTCTTTTTTGCTCAATCCCTGCACCACCCACCAACACCCCCGCACACACAGACGCACAGACACCAGAGCTGTCTGCCTGCTGTCTAGGAGTCTGTCTCTATTTTGCTTGGTAGTTCAGTTTGTTCATTAGATTCCACATCTGAGTGAAATCATATGTTTTTCTCTGGCTTATTTCATATTAGCATAATTTTCTCCAGG